TTCAATGTTGATATTAACCACAATGACAATACGGGAAATTCTAGTTACTAGATTAATTCAAGGAAAAAATTTTCTTCAAATAGTTTTGCAACTAATTGCGGCTTTGATTATAATATTTATAGCTTTTTCAATAACCAAATACAAATTAGAAATTGATGGTGGATCAATAATTTTCCCTGATATTTTTTCATGGATAATAATGATTGTTCCAATAACCTTGCCAGCTATGTTGGCACGAGTGATATACGCTACAATCGGAACATCACTAATTTTGAATCCTTTATTAATCATATTACAGAATAAGCTTCGTAATATTCAAGGTGAGCAAAATTTTTTTGACAATCACGTCTATTCATTAATATAATACTAACATACGATTATTAACTATAGCTCCAAAAATAACGATATTTCCAAAACTTTCATTATATCTCATTACATATTTATTAATGCTTTTGTCACGCCCTCACAATTTATTCTTATACATATTATTCTTCATTCAATATTACCTATTATCCCAATGGATCCATACTTCAATCACTTATGGAATTGAAATATCACCAATAACATTTAATTTTATACTAATATGTTTAAAATTTGTGTCATTTTTCGCATTTGGAAATTCCAATAGTTTGGCAACCACAGATATAAGTAATTCATATATAGGCGTAACAAAATATAACCCGTTATGGGTTGGAATGTTGACTTTTTTAGCTAATTGGGCGGGTCCTATTTGGTGGGTGTTTGCCGGGAATTTGTTAAGATTTGAAATAGTTGAAAGGAGAGTTTTTATAAACCAATCCAAAAATCAGAATGGTGATGATGATGAAGGAAATGGCAAGAATACGATTAATAATCCTAATTCAGAAACTTCTCAAATTACCAGATCTAATATATCATCGGCAATATCAGCATCCACAATCGCCACCAAACAAGAACTTAAACGACTTCAATACCATACATCACTATTTCAAGTTACGACATTTCATTCACTAGTATTATTTATAATATCGATTGCAGTTACGATATTGCGAAGTCATTTATTTATATGGACAGTGTTTTCTCCAAAGTATTTATATCAAATTGTGTGGTATACTCTGTATTTAGTAGGAGTAGAGATTATAGTAGGTGGAGTTATGTGGATTGTGGGGTTGAATGTTTTGACGAGAGAATAAAATTAATGAAATTGAACGTGAAAGACAAAGACAATTAATGAATATGTATGTGCCTGATATGACTAGAAAAAATCTGCCATTTTTAAAAATACATAATACCTCAAGCCTATAGTGTAATACGGGTTATATAGAAGTGTTACCCGAGTAGAAAAATAGCAACCCGGGTCAAACCTGACCCGAACATTTCGACGACCAGTGATTACGCATACTTTATTTGATTTTCGTTATGTTTACAAAAATTACCAGATTTTTTCGCATATTGGGATTTTAAACGCTATTATGACCCGTTACAGTTCACTCGTTATAACGTAGTGATCGGGCTGAGAAATTCTGTCCGTTATAATGAATATCCACTATAGCGTTATATAGTATAATAATAAAAATTTTAAATTGTTCCAGAGAATTGCTCTGTTATAACGAGGTATCCGCTATAACGGAGTCCGTTATAACGAGGGTGAACTGATATAGGTTCAGGTCTGAGAATTTTCAACCTTGCTTGTAATTTAAGTAGTGTTCAGATCCAGATAATCAGTTTATCTAAAGATAATTATCTGTTAAATAAACTCATTATCTGATAACTCTGTATCTTTATTTTATAATTCTATTATCCGAACTCTAAAGTATTATCCTCAAATAGTTTGATTGGCTGATTTACGTGTCTGATGTTTTGATTGATTTGTGGTGTTACCACGTGACCATACGAGATTTGTTATTATCCGATACTGCATTATATAAATAGTACGACGAGTATTCAGTTGTGTATTCACTTTTTGGCTTTTTACACTTTTCACTTTTGTTTTCAAGGTAAGAAAAATCTTTTTAAGGTCCGCTGGTTCCGTAAGAGGAACAGTTATGTTTTTTTTATTACAGTCTACCCTCGTTTATATCAACCCATTTGAATTGGTTTAAAATCCATGTGATATTAACAAGGAATATTAAAGTTGATATATATGTTGTGCCTCAGTCTAATGCTTGTCTCAGAACACAGCTGACGCACCTCCGATTCAGATCGTCAGGTGAAATGCGTAAACTATTGATCTATCATCTAAACTGCAATCTGACGAAAGTAAGAGAGTAAAATAAAAGACTTTTTGACTTGGACGATTTTTTTATTCTTGCTTTCTATATCTTTGAATCATTTTGGCGTCGTCTTATTTCCAGTGCATTTTTTTACATTAAGTCTCTTCAGCACCTCCATTCTTTTCTTTAAATTTCTTTGCCCGAATTTTCGTGGCACGTTCTATACTCTTCCTGTTTAAGTTTTCTGTGCGTAATGACTGATCGATAGGTTACGCACCTCATCTACACCTGAGGTGCGTCAGCTGTGATCCGAGGCAAGCGTTAGTTTGAGGCACAACATAGATGAGGGAATTTTAATACAGTCGCACTCCGTAATCACACCATCGGGACCTATAAAAGGGTTCTTATATGGAAAATTTGCTTATATAGAGAGTAATTTTTAAATGCGCTTATATGGGAGTGCGACTGTACAGTCAACTCTTTCTATACTGAACCCTTGGTTCTGGCCAAAAAAAAAGTTCGTTATACAGTAGTACTATGTTTTCTTAAGAGCCGTAGCTCTTGTTATACCGAATTAATATTAAATTTTAAAAATTTTAAGTTCGTTATA